GTTCTGAAGGAAGTGATGCACACTTCTTTGCTATTTGCCAAACTTCTCTGTGACACCAGAAGGGACCTCAAGAACTGGCAAAGTTCTACTTTCTGTGCCTGGTAGGTAATCAGGGAACAGCAGCAAGAGGGGAGAAAGCAGTGACACACTGCGACCAAGTGGGGTGTTAAAAGCAGAATTTCATATCCTGTCATTAAATTAGAATATTTGGGGGGGGGGGCGGGGAACCTTCTGTTGCCTGCTTTTGTCCTAAATCAAAATGTCAACTTCTTCCATGTGGTCAGTCTTATGACTTTCTGCCCACTGATCATAGCAATGCAATGTTCACAATGTTGCAAAGCAAAAGTCTAATTCTGGATATAAACCAGCTCCTTACTGAGGTCTCTCACTCAGTTCATTTTCAAACTTTAAAAGTTTAAATATTGGAAATGAGGTGCTATTTCCTGCCTTGCCTTTTCTAATGAGTGACAACTGGCTCCACAGGATGAAGCAACAACTCTAAAAATGTCAGTTTTGACAAAAATGTCAGAAAAAATATTTCACAAAATAATCTCTGGTGTTTTCTCAATGGGTTGTCCTTCACTGGAAATATTGCCTTCTTTTTTGGTTTGCTTTATTCACACTCAGAAGAGAATTAGTATTAAAGGAACATAAAATCTTTAAGTCTCCTTTCTACTTACTCTTCCTTCAGGCAAGATTCAGGGCCAAAAAGAACAAATTTGAGAAACAATAAAAATAAAACATATTGCACCAAAACCCTTTACATAATGGAATCAAATTCCCCAGATGATGGTACAGCATTACAGAGGTAGAAAAGGTGCAAACAAAAAAATGGTGAGCAACCAGAATGATTACAGGACTGGAAGAGCTTCCCTACCAAAAAGATGGCTTCAAGCGGGGCTCCTTAGCTTGAAAGAAGGAAAGAGCAGAAGTCAAATAATGCCTGTCCTCTGGAATGATCTCCCGCCCCCCCCAGAGATTTGTGTGGCTCCCACCCTTACGTCATTCAGGAAACTATGGAAGACCTGGTGGTTCTCCCAGGCTTTGGGGACAGGATGACTGCAGAGCCACCTTTTTGCTCACTTTGCTATTCCAGTATCTTTTATGTTTTCATATACACATTTTGATGCCTACTTGTAAGCTGCCCAGAGTCATACAGGAGTTAGGTAGGCTATAAATTAAATAAATAAAGAGGAGGAAGGCAGAATTAGAAATGGAATGGATAGACACACATTTGCTCTCTCACAGAATGCATAATGGCGTGTGGGAATGACCCCGGGAGAAGGAAGGAAGAGCTGCACACTAGACAACCGTCATGCAAAAGATACCGCAGCCCACAGAAGAAAAAGGGGCTTTTGGGAAGCATCTCAGAAGGGACCTGCCCTAGTTTTCTGGAAAGTAAAAGCAAAGGGGGGGGGGAGAGAAATACTTTCAGGCTTGTAAGATTCTGTTAATGTAACCGTACAATACAGCTAGAGCTAGTATTCATAGTTGTGCTCTTGTCTGGACTACCTTGAAGGGCTAACAGGATGTGAGAACTCAAAAGTCTTCTACAGGCTGAAGATTCACCAGGAGGGAGCACAGCATTCACCGCTGTCTGTCTGGGTGGCTTTTAAAGGGACTTGACAATCACAGTGGAAGGAGGCGACGCCCTCCAATCTGGGCCTGTTGTGAGCTCCCCAAACGCCTCCGCTTGGCCACCCTGGGACACCCCATGGACAGCTCCAACCGGGCTCCTCGTAGATACTTGGCCCAACCACAGCCATACGATGGTTGAAAGGACAATGCAAGAAGCCCAGCAGGTAGATTCACACACACACCGCGACTTCCCTCCACGGCTCTGGCAACCACATCGCAGCCGCCGCCCCGTCCCAGCGCCGTCCGGGTAAGTCCAAGTTCCACAGCCAACAGCCGGAGAACTTTGCCGGGCAACTGAGCGCTTCGGGGTGACGCAGAAAGCGCAACGGGCCGGGAAAGGAGTTCTCCGAGCGAGGCTGCCCTTGCAAAAAAAGTCGGCACTTTTTTTACCTCCTGTATGATTTGCTGCGTCTCCTCAGTGGCTGCCTTTAGCTCGGAGGCTCCGCCGCACAACATCGCTGGTGGAGGAAGGAAAGAGGAGGCGACTCCCGTGCAAGTGCAAGCCGAGAACACGAGCGAAGTCAGCCCCGCTGCCGTCCAGGCCCTATATGAGCTGTCCCCTGTTAGGGGCGTTACCAGAGACGATGCGGACGAAGCATCTCTTTCGGTAGGCAGAGGACTTCCGGGTTCAGAAGCCATTTTTGGAAAACCTCCATTGCGAGGGACAATGCGAGGCGCTGGTAGCCCTGAGTGAAGAGAGGTAGGCTTGCCTGGGTCAGTGACTCAGTTAACAGCGTGTTTTCCGGTGTACGGAAATAAAGGGTAAGAAGAAAAGGAGAAATGTACACTCTTTCCGTCTTTTTTTGCCTGAGCGGCTTATTATTGAGTTCTGAAATGCTGCCGTGATGGCAGCGAGAAATCCAGTGCAAATACAATCCATTATCCTGTCCGGCAGAGTAAAATGTCTGTAATACGGAGGCCGCAGTAGAGTGCTCTAAGCCAAAAGCACGCATCGGAAGCAGGGCTCCTTGTTTTTACATGTCGTCCAGCAGAGGCAAATCATGTATCACACCTGCACTACCGTAATGGAGCCAGTATTGTTGGCAAAGCTGTAGCATAAAAGCGTGGATCCAGTGCATGGATTCTTCCCGATCCTTTAAGTTTTACGAGGGATCCTCCTGAAACTATCATATCACAGATCTAATATAATATATATCACTGACCAAGGTAGCCATCAGTGGGTTACATCAGGTTGATTCTGCATAAAAATAGGAGAATCTATGACTTGCATGATATTAGCTTTCCACGTTTCTAGAAGAATTTTTAAAGTTTTAAAGGTCTGTCTTTTATAGGAAATTTGGAGGAAATCCCTAGTAAATATATGATTCTTGTGGACCGATGCCTCAGATCCATGGTGGGAAAGCGAGAAAACATATTAGCAATTTTGAGTAAAGATGATCTTCAGCTAATCTTAGGCACTTTGCAACAGTTTTAACTGTAAGAGTGCTCAGAGGTGGTCTTGCACAGGTTTTGAGGAAGTACACTTACCTTGTACGTGAGGGACTTGGCAGAAGTGTACATGACAGCAAATGTGTGCATGTCTATGACATAATATTCTGAACTATGTATGCTCAAATATGTTAGTCTAATAATGAATAACATATACAGTGGCTATATAATAGAAGTCTCTCGGATGTGATATTTGAGCTGTGCTGTTGAAACTTTGTAACTATACACCTCTCCCTTGGTGTCAACTAAAAGAATTTGGTGCAGCCACTCTCCCTGTGTTGCCTTTGTGGGAAGTGGACACGATCCACAGCAATGGTTTTTGCTGTAAGTAGAAGGCGGCTTTAGATGAATGTTAATGGAAAAGAGTGTACCTTAGATCCATATTTTTGCATAATGGTAACACCCGAAATAATTGTATCTGTGACTGTTATGCTGAGAAATGGGACCTGTGATTTGACAGCGGCTATCAGCAGATCCCGTTGAATAGACAGTGCAGTGCTAGGTTTTGATCTGATGGTAGCCTTGGCAGGTTCCATGCAAAACAAACAAACCAACCCATAATAATTACTTCAAATCATTAATCCAACTTTTATTGATACCTGTTGCTGGATCTCATATTCCATGAGAGCCTTGGGATTCATGACAATATGGCATTCTTAGGGCTATGTTAGAATACATTGACGGTTACATCTTTTTCATAAATTTGATAACTTCACAGTATTTGTCAGGAAAAGGGTCCCATGTTCTAGAACATGGGAAGATACCCATTTTAGAACATAGAACATGCCTTAGATTAAGGACTCATCCACATAACCCGCTTGCCCCATCTCTAATATGGCCTGATTTACCTTTGTTGTGGACATGTCTTGGCATCAGAGCCTCCATCTCAGAGCCTGCTGTTCAAGAAGTGGTGTTTTACACTGGAAAATTGGAGGGGGGGGAGGCTTCTTATGCCAACTGTCTCTACTACATGGAGGAAGAGTCTTCCCAGGGTCGGTGACCTGCTGGGGGCTAATTGGCCCATTGCGAGATTGTCACTGGGCCACTTTAACTGAGGCTGCCTGCCCCTTGCCTCTTTCCCTTTCCAAAGTACCCGGGCCAAGCACAGATCCTTCTCCTCCCTGCTCCTCTCTTCTTCCCTCTCTGCCCTTTACCTCTGGCAGGAGTAGCAGCAACTGCTGCCCTTGTGTGAGCATTGCAGCTCTGCCAGCTTCATTCTGGAGGTGTGGTAAGAGGAACACTGGAAGCAGCAATTTTCAGACTGGCATAATTTCCTTCTGTCTCAAGGATGGAAAGGAACCACATGCTTAGGGCAGTGGGGATGAGCCCTGAATCAGATCGTCAAGCTCACAATGGTATGTATTGATTGACAGCAGTCCTCCAGCGTTTCAAACTAGAGTCTTTGCCTGCCTGCTGGGAAAGACCAAAGATTAAAAACCACAAGGACCTTCTGCATGTAAAGTAGAGGCTATATCATCCAGCCCCCCCAACTTTAGAAACCTGGGTGAGAATTCTGTGGAGCACAGCAGGTATCTTTTTCAGTGGGAGAAAAATGGATATGGCCATATCTGATGGAGGTGCTCTTGATCAGTCAAAAGGCAAATAAAGGAGTTGCTAATAAATACATACATGCTTTCCCTGGGTCTCTTTGACACCACATTATTATCAGTATTACTATGTAGTGATATATATTAATCAGCTGTTTGGTTCCTCTCTCTGTCTCCCCCTCTCTTTCCTGTGCCATATACTTATATGAAGGTATGAATGAAGATGAGAACATATGAGGCCAACTCGAAGCAGATCATACAAGCTGTATGGTTTCTTCTGAAAGAGTTCAGCCTAAGCAACATGGAAAATAATAGAATGGAAACCTCAAAGAAGACTCATCAAAGGATGGATCTCAAAACAAAATTTACTTCTCGTGTGAATTAGATAACACAATGGCACTCAAGTAGAAAAGTGCCAGGAAGTGTAACAAGCACACCAAGCCAAGACTGGCCAAACCTCGTTGGAACTTATAAAAGGGGATGAGAACTCCAGAATTTTGGAGCCATCACACAGTACCTTGTATAATAGGAATCCCATCTCAGATGTTCTGGAACTCAAACATAGGTGGACCAGCTAAATTTCAAGTTGAACAAATATGTATTGGTGTTTGTGCGAGTAAGACTGAATTGAGCTTTTAGTTTAGAAAGTGATTAATAAAAATTAAACCTGCATTTGTTTCCACTTGTCCTGGATAAAAAAGAACAACAAGTAGCACTGGGGTGTTATAAAGACCCTTTTTATTGCTATGGTATATGATACCTTCAATTATATACTGCTAATTGGTAGAGATTGCTACCCATTTCTAGACTCTCCTCTCAAGGTAACACCTAGAAGCACATCTGTCTTCAGAATGGAGGGTTTTAAAAAATTAGAAAACATTAATCCTGAGGAGCCACAGATTATATTACCTCAGTGCTAAGACCTGCTCTCAGAAGGAGAGCCCACATGCAGAAGGTAAGAGAAAGGAAACTTGCAGCCTTGTTTAATGTTAAATGTACATACAGCATAACCTGTTCTAGCCTCTAATAAATTCCATTGTTACAACAGTCAGTTTCACCTTTTGCCACATTCCAGTAAACACACACTTGGGCTGCCTATACAATCCACTGACAGGCAAAACGATGAACCGCTTTTGTGGATTTTTTTCTATTATGACATAAGCTGCCATTTCCTGTGTGTAGCAGTGGTAAGCAAATGCTTTCTGACAGTGAAATACTAAGAAAACTATACCACCAGTTTCGCAAAGGCCACTGGCATTGGCAACTTCACTGGAAGAGAGAATAGGTGCCTTTCAACACAAGTCACAAGGTTCTAGTGATTTAAAGAATCACTGAGCACAAATTAACATTCCCATTTATTGAATGCCACAATGTGTTTGATACTGCAGTGGTAGAAAGTCTGAGCTGCTCATTAATAGAGATTTGGAACAATTCAGTCTTGTATTACCACAAAGAAAAATATTTTTTTAAGTATAATTTTTATTGAAACATTTTAGATAAAAGATAAACATGAAAACATTAAAAAGTTAGGGAAAGAAAAAAGATAAAAAGTGAAGAAAGCAATACAGTTAAAGAAAAAAAATTAAACGACTTCCATCTTCTTTGCAGCAGTTACAAATAAAGTTGTTATCCCTCCTCCCTCATTCAGATTGCATTACAGAGATCCCTTCTGTCCCATATTCAACCACTTTTTCAAACAGCAAATCCACAAATCACCATTTAACTTTTTTTCTGTTTTCAGCAAAAAGTCCATGAAAGGTTTCCAGTCCTTTATAAAAGTACATCTTGTTTTATCCCTCACCAAATAGGTCAGTTTTGCCATTTCTGGTAATTCTGTCATCTTTACAATCTATCCCTCCGTGGTGGGTATTTCAGTATTTCTCCATCATTGTGCATATAATAATCTTGCCGCAGTTACCATATATAAAATCAATCTTCGATAAGTCTCCACAAAGAAAAACATTTGTGAGGAATGCATGCAGTACAATAATTTACAGATCTCCCTGATGTACGTGTTGGGTCAAGGAAGTAAGGACTGATCAGTTTGGGTTTCTCTCAAAGATCACACAACTTCACTCACAGGAGTGTTATTGCAGGGAAGTACTGGGGAAGGGAATGCTATGTGGGAATGCCTAATGCGTTCCTGAAGGGAAGGCCATGTGGAGAAGTAAATTGACTTTCTACCTAAAGGAGAGATCCAAGCGTAGTGTTGGAAAAAGTCCTTTGAAAAATGTAGTGATGATCTCTGCGAAGCTAGATCGCTCAAAGATCCCACAGCCACGTTGACACTTTGGCAACAGCATCTTCAGGAAAACATAAAACCCTTTAAATGTTTGAATGCTTAGGGCCTTGAGGAAGAACTATATTAATTGCTTTTGTAGGTCTACGTGCAGGTACTGTTGCAATAATGTAGCAAGTAACTGCAATAACTTAGATAAACAGATGCAAAGGATTTTTGTTCCTGGTTCCACTATTCAGAAGCAGAGTGATAAAATAATGTTCCACCTGGATAGTATGGGTGGGTGTTACTTTTTAGGAATCCATGGTTATTAAGTGGTTTATCTCTCTCAATCCTTATGCTAAACATGCTTGGTGATGCTTTTCAGCAGAACACTATTATGCATGCTGTTAAATTTCCCTCTCTCTATCTAAACTGAATTAAGTCTCCCTCCAAACATCTGCCCAAGAGTCCAGTTTGATTTAAGAGTTTTACCTTTCCTTAGCTTCCCCGCTCTGTGTCCCAACATCAGAAGAGAAGGCAATCTCAGCAATCTCTTCCAGATTTGGACAAAACAGGAAGCCCTGGGGAAACCTCACACACTCCATTTGAACCATGTTTTGACCCAGATTCTTGGTTTCCAAGGTACAGTAGGACCTGAAAAGGCTTTGTGCAAACCCAGCCAGAGAAGGAACCCATGACTAATATTCCCCAAGGTTCAATTCAGTAATGAAGTTGAGAATAACTCAGTATCTGGCCTGTGAAAAAGAAGTCACTGAGAAATGCTGGGTAGCCCAAAGCTCTGACATGTGAGCCCCATCATTTTCTTTCAACTTGGCCCACTTTGTAGAAATGTTATAAAAATAATATGGAAGTGGGTGCATCATATATGCCACTGAAGTTGTGGAGTTAATGTAGGATGTAAACATAATAAAATGCAAGTTTCAGGATACTCTAGAGAAAATAAAGCTTTTTAATGAGTTTCATGCTGCTCTAAGAAGATTGCTGTATCTGGGCTGCAAAGAAGCTAGGCCTCCTGACAGTGGGAACTTAGTTAGGTATCACTTTATTGCCCTCTAGTGGTTGCTGGGTTGGTTGCATAGCTCAATGCACTCCAGATTCCAGCTGCCACTTAGCTAACTTGAATATCTGCTAATACTGTATAAGTTAAATTCCTTCCTGCTCTCGGGGATGAGCCCCTAAATTTCTGGTCAGATTTTTTTTAATTATTAAAAAAGACTGGGAATCAACAGGATCAAAAATGTATTGCAATATTGAAAATAAAGCTAGAATTTATACTGCTCTGCATATCATTGATACTGATAAGTCTTGATGACACCTGCCTTTCAGATATGCCTAGCTACACCAGTGCATGTAGGCAATGACAGTTTCATTAAAATTTCCATCTTCCTCAGCCAGAAGGTACATTTTAACATTTCTTCAGTTATCAGATTTGAGATACTTAAAGAATGAGATGAGATTATGCAACAATACATAAAAACATCTCACAGGAAGCAGTCAGTAACTTTTTTCTCTGGGGCTGTTTCTTTCAGTGTCAGAATGGAGAAAAGCAAAAGTAGCTTTAAACTCAGATTTATCCACATTTCTATGGCAGGATAAGAAACCAAGGATTAAATATAAAAAACTGCAGGATGCCAAAAAAAAAAAAAAAAAGGAGTGCTAGGACTACCTAATCTCAAATTGTATTCTGCAGTCTGTTTTTTGGTTTGGATGAAGGAATGGTTCTGTTGAGAAATAAAAGAATGGTAGAATTGGAAGATCATAACTTGAGGTTTGGCTCACATGGGTTTTTATGGTATG